ATTGTTCTTCCAAATTATAAAATTTTTCACCGGGTCTGATGTACATGGCAATTTTGGTGAGTTTTCGAGTATGTTTAGGGCCTCAAAAACGCGTGTCTTTGGCACGAATAACAATAATAATCCGAGCAGTTCCAATAGGGTCTTCGCACCCTTTGGTGCTCGGACCCTAATAAAACATGGACATGACATATAAATGTATAAATACACAGAAAATAGATGCACATCTACAGAAACACATAAATAAAGTTGTAATGCAGAAATTAAGTACTTCTAAAAAAGTCTAAATAAAAACATCAGCTTTTATTTACATAATGTCTGTTTGTAGAAAACATCCAAAAAAAACCGACTGAACAGCTGAAAATCTTCATAATTTACAACAAACACCTGATAATTAATTAATAACGAGGAGCTGCTGTTAACAGATTAATTAACTGTGTTGAACTCATTATTACTCTGATCTGACAAATGAAACATGACGTCTGTATGATCCGGTGGCCGACAGGCGTGGAGCAGGAGCGCGACTGGGCGGCGGTGGCGGCGGTTCAGTGCCGTCTGGACCGAGAAGGAGGAACGAAGCTGTTCACTGATCTGGTGATGAGCACCAAGAACGACAAGATCTTCCAGGAGAGCATCCAGCTGGCCATCTGCCTGCTGGAGGGAGGCAACACCGAGATCCAGGTAACACGCCTGGACGGCAGGTGACTGGACAGGTGGAGGTTTAGATGTTGGTCGTAACACATCTGAACCACAAACCAGGACAGAAACCAAAGAACCCTGAACAAACATCCACAAAGCCAGAACATCTCTCAGGTCTATTTGTTTCTGCTCTACATGTGTGGATGTATGAAGCTGTGAGAGAACGTCTGTGTCTCCTGCAGAACTCCTTCTACAAGCTGATGATGGGCGACAACAAGTCGGAGAAGTTCTTTAAAGTCCTGCATGATCGGATGAAGGAAGCTCAGACTGACATCAAAGCTACAGTCTCTGTGAATGTTGGAGAGATGACGCACAAAGCCAACGAGAAGGAGCTGGAGAACGGTGACCCTCGTTGATATTCAAGTCCTGATATGATGACACGACGCTAACTCTGACTGTTATCAATCTGTTGAAGGATTTCCTGTTTATCTGAGTCTGACAGATCAGCAGGAAGTTAGTCATATTCAGAACGATATTTCCCTCCTTGTACAGGCGGCTCTTCATCGCTGGTTCTTCCTGGTTCAGGTCACCCGCTATTGGTCCAGGGTACGTCCATCGCCCCGGCAACCGGCACCTCGGCGCTGCCGGCTCAGCCAGCGGTGGAGCAGCGCGAGGTGGACACGGAGATGGGCCCGGCAGTGACCATCATGAAGCCCATTCTGAGGTTCCTGCAGCTGCTATGTGAGAACCACAACCAGGACCTGCAGGTTAGTTACCACTAGCTAACTAACAACCAACCAGGACCTAACTAACTAATTACCTAGCTAAAGAGCTAACTACCAGGACCTAACTAACAACCAACCAGGACCTAACTAAGTAATTACCTAGCTAACGAGCTAACTACCAGAACTAACTAACTAACTAACTAACTAACTAAC